CTTGGCAGCTATCTGGTACAAATTAGCGGTCTGGCCACTTAAAAGGCAACAATATGCCAGACTCAGGAAAGCATTAACTACGTACCTTTGGAAAAACACTGCCAGAGCAGAGGGCTGTATTTCAAGGGTCAGTTGGGACGTTCTTACGCTACCAAGAACTAAGGGTGGGTTGGGAATCCTGGATCCAGAGAGAGAAAGTGAGGCACTGATCTTTAAAGTGCTGATTAGACTGCTGGTGGGCAATGACGTCCCCTGGGCCCGACTAGCCTGCCTTCAGATTGCATCCTTGGCACCAGAACGGACAACAGGCTGCACCCCTTCTAATGGCTGACTAATTCTGAGTGGACTCTCCCCGCCCCCTCGCAACAACGCGAGTCGGCCGACCCGAGGCAAGCGGTGCGGGCAGACATCCCCCTAGACCCCCTGTGGCCATATATGCTTAGGCTTTGGAGAAGGCGAAGGCCGGAACAAAAACAGCCCCCGAATAGATGGCAGGATATTTGGAGGCAGCCTCTGTTCGGGAACCCCCGCGTCCTAGACGAAAATGGTAACCCTTTCAGTCTCAAAAACAACTCCCCGTGGCTCACTTGGGCCAGAAAGGGTGTATATACAGTTGGGGACTTGTGGGACCCGCGAGCAAACGATTGGGCAACAACCCAGCAACTGCAACGCAGACTTAAGCATGCTAAGAACGTGGGAAACAGAATGGCCATGCTAAGGGAGACTCTCCCCCTCGCGTGGCGCCTTGCTATCCAAAACAGCCCAGACGTTCGGCACGACGATTGGACTGTCAAATTTGCTGACCTGCCCAGTCCACTTCCAGTTTTCAGAGTCTGCAGCAATAATAATGGTCGCTGTACACTGCAAGCATACGACCTTCTAAGTCCGGGTGCCAGATTCTCGAAACTCGTAAGAAACAATAACCTTGATGGGACTAATATGGGCCGGACTGATGCATGTTCGTGTTGTGGGGGACTCGCAAGACGGGTTCTTTGTGTTTGAGCCTGCAACCCCGGTGGCTAAGCTCCCATTCGACCCGGCAGAATGGGAATGGCCTGGCCCCAAACCCATGCGCATATGGGATTACACAGTCAAAGGCGGGTACAAGGCCTCAAGGGCCGCCACGGAGATTGACCAAAAGTTGTCTGATAGGTGGGCGCGCGACTCTCCCCTAGACCCGAAGTTGACAGAGGACCTGCCGTGGGCCAAGTATGTCAAGATCATGCCCACGAATCTGCGAGCCCTGCAGTGGCAAATTATCCACCGGTGCCTCCCCACTCCCGACTGGCTGGTGTCCGTACCGACTTGGAACAGAAAGGGCTGCTGTCGCCTCTATGCGCCTATTGTGGCAGGGCGCCGCCACCAGCCAGAGCCACTTTGGAACACTGCTTGCTGGCTTGCCCCATGGTCACTCAACTCTGGCAGTGGTGGGATGCAGCCTTTCATTTCCTCACGGGAGAGCACATCCCATGGGAGCTGGGGCTACTGCTTCTGGGTAAAAAACAGCACCTAATGAACAACTGGTCCCCCTATGCAGCTAATCTCTTCTCTTATACGAGACTGCAAATACTAATGTTAGCCTGGAGAGCTAGGTGCTCTTTTGAAAGGCGGGACCACCAATTCGGCCTGCAGCAGGCCCAACAAGTTCTGGAGGACATTATCAGGTCCCATACGCACGATGCGTGGAAGACATTTATTCGGGACTATAGGGAGGAAAAGGACCCTGCTGTTCGGGAAATACTGAAGTCGTCCTTCTGCTTGCTGTGCACCAATCACTCTCCGAATTGGACAGCGACCTTAATATACACTGGAAGCAGTGGAGGGTCTCAGAGTCACTATGGCAAAGGAGACCCTTTCACCACTTCCAAGTCCCCTACTTACAGCCTAATTTCGTTCTGATAACATAACACGGTAATGTGCCACAGGGGTTCCTGCTCGCAAACAGAGGTGCGCGACACACTTGAACCCCCCCCCCCCCCCCCCTCTTCTCTCCCTCCCCCCATCTCTCCGCCCTTTCTTTGCCCCTGATGCTGTATACCCCTACCTTGCCCCCGATGTCCGATGCCCGATGCTCTATACCCTGTCCCTCCCCCCGTCCTTTTCCCTGCTCTCTGAACAGCCTCAAGCGAGGAGGGGCCAATAACTGGTGCGACTGCGATCGACGAAAGAGGTGCTGGTAGTTACATAAGAAGCAGACCCGGAAGACAGAGACAGAGACAGGGCCACCTCATAACGGCGGGGCAGGGCTCCCTGCCTCAGTGATACCCTGGGAGGGAAGTGCGGCATTTCACAATGCCTAGCCACGGCCTTCCCCGCCCCGGGATGACATTCCAAGATAAACCAGACTGGCCCTTTCGTTCGAGAGCTATCAGGGGTCGTCTATCTGGTGACGAAGACAATAGTCTGGTCTGAGATATTGCGGAGGTGGATGCTGTGGTCCACGAACACCTCTCTGATCCATTACAACACCGTCTCGATTACTGACAAATCCACTGCACTTGGGGCTGCAGACACCTGGGATAGTGGCCCGCCGTCGGCAACAGTGCAAGGTTAGTTTTAGATTCGAAGCAATGGGCGGGCGGGTTCCCGGGGGGCACTTGGCCACTTTTCACTGAGAGCTGTTCAAAGGGATTGGGAATATGCAGCCAGGGGGGATATAGAGACGCTCCAGAGCAACAACTTTATGGCCTGATGCCCGAACACTCGTTGTGCTGCTATGTTGTATTCGTGGGACGCTGGACCCGTTTTCCAGCAGGTGCCGCTCCCCACCAATAGATGGAGCCTCCCGGGTGGTGCTAGGGGTGTCTGCTCTTACCAGTACGCCTAGCATCCATCCAGGCTGTGCGTTCAAAAAAAAAAAAAGAAAAAAAAAAAGGGGAAAACGTTTGGCAAACAAAAACAAATTATCATTAAAATAAAATAAATTCGAAGGCTTGAAAAAACACAAACATGTATAAACATGCTTGCCGGTGATATGTAACCGGACTGTTGCCCCCCAGAATAGAAGGGGCCTTGTGTTTGAAAGAAAAAAAAAAACGCAAACAAGGATGGTTCATTTTCAAAAAAATTGCAAAGATCAAAGATTACTAAGTACAAAGGGGCTCGTTAGACACTCCTTGGGGCGTCCTCGGGGCCGAAGGAAGTTTCCTTCCGGGTTTTGAAGGAAATTCCTGCCATCGTTCCACATATCCTCGAGGTGGTCTCCCAAGTATGATTCCTTTTGGCCCCCGGCGGCCACGGGGGCCCCAATGCCTTGGTCCATTGGGTGATGTCTGTCTTGCTACGGTGCGGTCCAGCTGCCGAAGGCAGGAAATTTTGAAAGGCGCTGGCGAGGGGGGGAAAAAAGAACCTTAAAAAGCAATGGACCTCCCCGGCCGAAAATCAAATTTCGAATTGGGTGCTGGACGCCTCGACCACGACACGGGGCAGGTGGCGTCCATATTGGCGACGGTGGAAACGGGCATTTGCAGTGGCGCAGTGGAGTCGTCGTAAGTCTAGACGAATTTGTGAGTGCCCCGCAAAGGTCCATCGCCATCGCCTCCTCCTGCCGCCGCGTGTATGTGTGGAGTCGAGCACGTGGGAAACGTCGTCGGCGACTTGGCGATGAGGTTACCGTGGTCGTGGCGATTGGTAGGCTGTTGTATTTTCAAGGTTCATGAGCATTGCAACACACGTGCCGATGGAGGGCGGCAACGACGACGGACGTGGGAAGTTGACGACGATCAAGAAGACGGCCGTGACATCCGTGCTCTTTCGTTGTCAGCAGGAGAAGGTATTGGGCAGAATGAGAGCGCAGATCCACATGTGGAGGAGGAAGTCGCTTCCTCAAGTCCCGGTCGAAGGGCTGGATACCATGGCCATCACCAAGGCTGTAGTTCAGGCTTGCTCCGCCATGAGTTGCAGTGCTCTTCCATGAGCGACGCCGAGGTGGTGGATGGAAAGGAGGACGGGGGGGGTGTGGGAGGATCTCAGGCAATGTGATGATGCGACAGAGTACTTCTGGGAGAAGCTGCGCATGTCGCCACGTGTATTTCGGGCGATGGTGATTGCATCCAGTGTGGACGAACGCCCGATGTCGACTGCAGTCGGTGTCGATCCCTCGTCTTCTCTGCTGGAGGCCTTCAATAGAGGTCGGCCATCAACGATAGAGGATGCACACGTGGAACAGGAGGACCACAACAAGCAAAATCGCAACTAGGAACAGCAGTGGCAACTTTCAATAGAGGTCGTCCATCAACGACACGTATGACAGGGCCGTAACTCCACGACGACGGTGAAGGTCCACCGAACAGCGACGATGAAGAGAGCAGAGAGTAGAGGACAGCATACGACACACACACTCTAACGGGTTGTACGCCCTTGCACTGCGACCCGGACGTGCCTGTGTGGTGGCTCATGGAGTGGTCCACTGACGACCTGCTCTTCGCCTGCCGTCAGTCCATGATGACGCCCTTCTTCATAGAACGCCTCTTGCGTGTGCGTCTAGACAGCCTGCCGAGGATGCAGACGTGGAAGACAATTAGGACCCACCAGGGCCACCCGAGTTGCTGGAAAGCCCATGTCAGGTACTACCCAAATTCTGCTTTTATCCCTGTACACCCTAGCCTTTGAAGAAGTCTGTCTGGTCCCCCATTTCAGTCTTGCCCCTGCAGTTTCCCTTGTTTCTATCTATCCCTCGCGGGAACACAGAAAGCACAGGGCAAGCAAACAGTTTAGTACTTCACATATCAATGATCACAACGGGACTTACACACATGCAAGCAAACACAAAATTCACACAGAATACAGAAATCTCAGCAAATCAGACCAGCAAACAGCAATACTCAGAAAACCGCATAAGTCTCAGACAGATTCTGTGTGGGTCATTGCATCTTCTTTTTTCCTTCTTCTTTTTGCCTCTTCAGTTTCTTTTTCTGCTTTGTACTTCTCCTTCTTTTGTGCATGCTCCTTTCACTCATGGAATGAATTGGTTCAGATGATTACATGTATCGACATCTGGATCGAGAACAGCTGAGAAGTGGTATGGGTCATTGCACTAAAATTCACCGACAATGAAGTAGCAGTGTGGACTCGAGAGAAGGTGCTTCCAGTGGGTTCAACTCGTTCGACCTATAGCCTACTCGCACTTCTCCCAGTCAGTGAGGGAGTAGTTCTGTAACTACCCCTCCTTTCTAGTATATGTTCCTCATCTGCATCCGGCAGAGCTCGAACCCAGGTCTGTATCTCAACTGTTCAGCGGTGTACCAACTGAGCTACGCCAGTTCGTGTCATTGCCTCCTTTCTACTTCGGATCCCTTCATATCCACAATTCAACGTCTAAGTTCTCAAAGAAAAAAAACACAGTGAGCTTGACTGTGGAGTTTGACTGCGGAGTTTGACTATGGAGTTTGACTGTGGAGTTTGACTGTGGAGTTTGACTGTGGAGTTTGACTGAGGAGCTGTTCAGTTTTCCCGGTGAGTTGAACTCCTCACAGTCTAACTCCACAGTCAACTGAATTCCTCAGTCAGTCAAAATTCCTCAGCTAAACTTCTTAGTCAAACGAAGAAATTTTTTTCAATCGAACACCACAGTCAAACTGTTCAGTTCCACAGTCAGTTCAACTCCTCAGTCAAAATCCACAGTCAGTTAAATTCCTCAGTCAATCAAAACTCCTCAGTTAAACTTCTTAGTCACACTCAACACTCCACTCTTCCACATTCAATCTCCTCAGTCAGTCAAACTCCTACAGCTCCTCCTTCCTCTGAAAACTCCCGATGCCCAACCGATACACTGTTTTATCAAAGACCTAACTATGTTTGTATTTACTATTTAGTTGATAACATAAAAAAAAGACTGCATGAAGACCACAATAAGTATATATAATACGACTCAGGCCCGCCAGGGGAGCCGCAAAGGAGTAGGAGTTGCCCTCAGTCAAACTCAGTCAAGTACTAAAATAAGTTGGACGTTGAAACTCCTTTCTCAGAGGGCCTCCTTAATTGAGCTTTTCCGCGAACTCCTCCGATCTTCTTTCCCCTCAGCTTTTGTCCATTTGTATCCGACCTCCTCACTCATACTCTTGCCTTCCTTCCTCGATCCTTTCACCACCCCCCACCCCCCAACCTCCTCACTCATACTCTTCCTTCCTTCCTTTACCCTTCCCCCCCCCCCCACCTAAACACTACCTCCCTCAGAATGGATCCTTTTTATTTCTTTTTAAATATAGTTTGGACTCTTTCGAGTCTTTGGACCATTTCTCGATTTACGTGTGTGTCATCCTTGTGCAGGGGCCATTTGCTAATTACCCTTCTCTGTATCGTTCCAATGATAACGGATGTCCCGGACGACTCAGATGAGTCGAGTTCGACGATCCAATTTTACGACTCTTCCAATTTTATGCGTGTCATACCCGGCTGACTTTCTAACAAGTTTTTATTGTTGGATTTGAAGTTTCGTGAGTAACAGATCCAGAAGCTCCGGAAATTCCTCGTCACAGAAGTGGCCTCGGTCTTCGAGCTCGCTGTACTCAGACTGCAACTCCTTCGCTACGGTTTGCATCTCATCGATAGGAATGTAGGGATCGCTTGGAGATCCGAACTGCAAGCAGGAACACACACCAACAGGTACAGCGAATCCGCAACAGTTGATTAAGATCTTGAATGCATTATTAACAGTCTCAAGCAATGCCGTGTGCCTATGGTCACATAGGCATGGCGAAGGACCAAGGAATCACCATCAATGCAAGCAGCAGCAGAAAGAAAAAAATCAATCTGACTCATCTGACTACTGACTCAACGCACACATACATCATCAAACACGAGATAGGCAAGGAGATGACACACATGGAAGAAGATCCCTCCACGCCTCACATGGATGGGGAGAAGTACCATGGATGATGGTGGCAGAGAATGAGACGAATGCAAGGATAATGCGCAACAACAACAACAACAAAGAAGAAGAGGAAGAGGAAGAAGAAGAAGAAGAAGAAGAAGAAGAAGAAGAAGAAGAAGAAGAAGAAGAAGAAGAAGAGGAGGAGGAGGAGGAGGAGGAGGAGGAGGAGGAGGAGGACGAGGACGAGGAGGACGAGGACGAGGAGGACAAGGACGAGGCGGAGGAGGACGAGGAGGAGGAGGAATAGGAGGAGGAAGAGGAGGAGGAGGAAGAGGAGGAGGAGGAAGAGGAGGAGGAGGAAGAGAAGAGGAGGAAGAGGAGGAGGAGGAAGAGGAGGAGGAGGAAGAGGAGAGGGAGAAGGAGAGGGAGAAGGAGAGGGGGAAGGAGAGGGGGAAGGGGGAACGGGGAAGGGGGAAGGGGGAAGGAAGAAGGGGGAAGGAAGAAGGGGGAAGAAGGAAGAAGAAGGGGGAAGAAGGAAGAAGAAGGGGGAAGAAGGAAGAAGAAGGGGAAGAAGAGGGAAGAAGGAAGAAGAAGGAAGAAGAAGGAAGAAGAAGGAAGAAGAAGAAGAAAGAAGAAGGAAGAAGAAGAAAGAAGAAGAAAGAAGAAGAAAGAAGAAGAAGAAAGAAGAAGAAGAAGAAGAAGAAGAAGAAGAAGAAGAAGAAGAAGAAGAAGAATTCGTAACAAATTAAAAAAATGAATCAGAAGGAAGTCAATGCCTGCGTCCTTTGGGACATCCGTTAAAATTGGAACGATACAGAGAAGATTAGCATGGCCCCTGTGCAAGGATGACATGCATAAATCGAGAAATGGACCAATTTTTTTGGAAAAAAAAAAGAAAGAAAAAAAAGAAGTCAATGCCTGCAGGATCTTCCTCACTAACAGTGGAAGAAGGGGGAAGGAAGAAGGGGGAAGAAGGGGGAAGAAGGAAGAAGAAGGGGGAAGAAGGGGGAAGAAGGAAGAAGAAGGAAGAAGAAGAAAGAAGAAGAAAGAAGAAGAAGAAAGAAGAAGAAGAAAGAAGAAGAAGAAGAAGAAGAAGAAGAAGAAGTAGAAGAAGAAGAAGAAGAAGAAGAAGAATTCGTAACAAATTAAAAAAATGAATCAGAAGGAAGTCAATGCCTGCACCCTTTGGGACATCCGTTAAAATTGGAACGATACAGAGAAGATTAGCATGGCCCCTGTGCAAGGATGACATGCATAAATTGAGAAATGGACCAATTTTTGTGGGGAAAAAAAAGAAAGAAAAAAAAGAAGTCAATGCCTGCAGGATCTTCCTCACTAACAGTACAGAGGTGACTCTCCCTTAGCTCTCCATCCTCTCTTTCCTCCTAGTAGCGCTACTGGATATGGCGGACCATCCCTGCCTAGCACAAAATGCTCCAGGGACACCGCACTACTCCTCTTCGTTCCTCTGCCACAATGTGCAACCAGACTCGTCTTCCTTGTTACTCAGAATGCATGAAAACAAATGGCATTCACACTGGCGCGAAGCACCCACACAAAGCTCAGGGATCAGAAGACCGAGAACACAGTGGAGATTCAAACTTGCTTCGAATGGCTATGGCGCCTGTGCACCCACACGACTCCCTGCCGACACTGTATTCCCAGCAACTGTTCTCATGCACACCACTCTGGACCTCCCTGGATGTCCCGTAACACACACTCAGCACAGCACGCTCACACACACACGCTAACAACCTATCTCTAACCTAGGGCAGCTGTGGCTGCCTTCTTCCTCACTAACTACTCTTGCGGCTATGGCCGCTTCTTCTTCCTCACAGCCCACTTCTTCTTCGGGCACCTGCATACCTCCTTGCAAAAGACGCTCAGGCAGCGCTTCCGCATGGCTCACAGGCAGAATGAATCAATGGCTGGATGCTGCCCCTTGATTTATACGTCGGATGGTCGCTGGTCTGCTCCTTCCCACCGGGCCCGGGGTGCAAACAGTCCCATATGGTACTTGCTGACTGGACATAGTGCGACTGGGACTGGGTACCGCTGACTAGGCGAGGTTGGGCTGCCCACTTGCCCACTTGCCCTCTAGACTGACTCCTAGGACCCTACGAAAGGTCACTTCCGGACCTTCCGGAAGTCTGTGGACTTCGACCTTTCGGGACTGTAGCAGCTACGACCTTGACCTTTTAGGACTGTAGCAGCTACGACTCCTACTTAGCTAGGCCCGCTACTCGACAGACCTACGGATCGAGACCCGACGACCACACTAGCTATAACAGACAAACGAGCGACTATCAAGACACAGGGTGCGGGTTCAAACACACAGGGGTTGACTGGTATTGTACACAGGTGAGGGCGATGTCTAGGGATCGAGCTAGGGATCAAGCCCTGGGATCTGTATCTGCTACCGTAAAGGTAAAAAACGCTTTAAATGCCTCACTCACGGATGAAATTCATGTTCAACCAGTATCCAAAAGGGGCCTTCTTGATGCAGCGCTAATCTGGAGAGCGAGCATCAGGGTCCCCCTGAGCCAAAGGTAAGTCGTCTTGTCGTTTCGCTCTTTCCTCCTGCTGTATTATCGCTAACACCTCCTTCTTGACTCCATAGCGCAACGTGGGTCTCTCCTTCCTCCCTCCATAGCTGGGTCAGCCCCCTTCTTCTCCATAGCTAGGTCAGGGGACCTTCTCGATGCAGCGCTAGTCTAGAGAGCGAACATGAAGGTCCCCCTGAGCCAAAGGTAAGTCGTCTTGTCGTTTCCCTCCTTCCTGCCTCCATAGCTAGGTCAGCCCCCTTCTTCTCCACGTTACTACTCCACAGCCATGGAGGTCTTCTTCCTCACTCTCTTGCGCTTCCTCATCACCCGCATGCTATGGCAACATCTTCATGTGGAAGGAGCAATCAGCATGATGACTTCCAGGCGAATGGCTGGTCGAGCACATGTCAGCGAAAAATATACTCTCCACTGGGGGTCTAGCCCTCCTCACCTCGGAGATGTTTGCACCATGTGGAAGTGCCCTTATGCATTCCGGTTCCCTCCCTTTTGGAATAAACATCTTTGGAGACTACTAAGCTACTCCAACAGATCGATACCCGTGCTGATATCAGTCTAAAATTCTCTAAATTCAGACTGGTACCATCATGACATCTGCCAGCTATGGCCCTGGACCCACAGGAGTGGAGATGGGCAGTACTGGGGAGGCCATCAAAGACGATGCAGAAAATTAAATACCTGCACAAACTGAGCGTCAAATCTATTTAACGTTTAAACAAAAAAAAAAAACAATCTACATATAAATGCTGCGAACCAAAAAAAAAAGAAAAAAAAAAAGCGGATCTTAAGCGATGTGGTGAATGATAGGTGGGCAAAGCATCTTCTTCTTCTTCTTCTTCTTCTTCTTCTTCTTTAGGTGGGACGAGCATCTTAACATGGACGTGCGCCTGCTCAAGCCAAATCCGACAGTTCTGGGAGAGCAAAGGGAAAACCTGCCAAGATCACCTCTTTGCAGTGGCAGGTATACCGTATGATTGTGTGCCCGCATATGAATGGCTGCCCAACCACACCAACCTGGAACAGAAACCTGGAACAGAAACCTGGAACAGAAACCTGGAACAGAAACCTGGAACAGAAAGGCCTGGCTCTGCCTTGGTGTACACGGACAGTGTCTTCAAAGTTTGCCACCATGGAAAAGGGCTGATACAATAGAGCACATATTTTTGCAATGCCCCAACTCGGCAGGATATGCTGGAAAACAGTGGAAGATACCTGCTGGTCATGGAACTGAGTGATAGTAACCGATGAGTAGGTGTGCGGTCCGTTCGGAGAGTCTTGGCTGTGACGGCTTGAATTGGATGGACTCTTGGTTGGTTTTCTACCTTTTTGAGTCTTTTTCTTTTTCATTGACTCGTCGACTGTCACCTAGGAGACGTGTGCGCATCTTGAGTGTGTAATACTGTGTATACTTCTTCTCTATGTGACGTGTACATCGTTACTATGAACATGGAACGGGCGTGCAATCGTGGCGGGGTACTGGCCAGACTGAGAGACAAATACCTTCACAGAAAACATGTTCCGGCCTGGAAGGAGGGCAGTCCTGTGGGCACTATGGTGGCAGAGATGCATTCTGGCACTCGAGGGTGCCAGAATAGAGGGGGAGGAGAAACGACGGAGCAAATCGAACAGCAAATACAAACGCAGCTCACCCACAGATGGTAAACACTGAAAGTGAAACCGGACCTCCCCAACACATCCAATGACATCAGACAAGCTATCAGAAGATTCTGCAAGCGCTGGCTGGGAGGAAGACCAGGGTGGAAGGATAGCGTCGGTAGTATGGAGTGGAGAGAGTCCTGCTGGGGAGCATAATCAAGAAGAACACATCACTGGGGGTGAGGGAGCACCACTTAGTCTTCAATGACTGGACCAGGATCAGGATAGGTTCATCCTTCCCGCTGCGACATCCATCCCAGTTCCCTGCTCCCTTCGCACCACACAGTCTCTCGCTAGTGGAGTGCTGGAATCGAGCAGATGGTTCTTCTAGTATCTGATAAACATTAGACAGTCATTCCCCTGAAGTGCCTCTGCGCGGAAGATGGCACAAACTCCAAGGAAGGGAGGGAGTTGCAGCGGTTGACCCTCTGGTGCCAGCGGGTCATGGTAGTGTATTCTGTACTAACCATGCTGGGAACGGGCTGAAATTCACATCTTTTTCATCCACAGCTCATTTGAGATCAGCAGGTTGCAGGCTCGATCCCTGGAGGCTGGAGTGGGAAATTTCGTTTCATTCAAATGATTTGGCTACAAGTACTTGGAGACAATGAATGAAAAGGAGCTTTCACACAGCATGCTTTGAGCTCACACAGGCAATTGTACCCGTGTTGGTTGGTAATACTTGGTATGCATTCCCTTTGAGCTTAGCTGAATGGGGCCGTTTGGTTGGAGTTGGCGTTGAGTCGTGGGGCCGCTTGTTTGGCATCGAGTCTGGGTACACCAGGTCATGGTAGTATATTGTACAAACCATCCTGGGGTGGGCTGAAATGGATATCTGTCGGCTGAGCACGGCTCCGATTTTGTCCCAGCTCGCTTCGCCTTTCGGTATGTGTTCCGATCGAAGATCAGCAGGTTGCAGGTTCGATCCCTGGAGTGGGCGATATCATTTCATTAGAGTGATTTGACTTGAACTTGGAGCCAATGAATGAAAAGGAGAGCTTTTTTTTTTTTTTTTTTTTTTTAATGATTTCAATCCCATTTATTTTTCACCTCAATCAATCCAGTATACAGACTCTACACTTAATTTGACATCCCATATTGAAATATAGCATATACGACGTATTATACGTCATATATATCATCATAGAAAACTGTCCACTGCCCAGCAGTGAGGGAGAACGGCCCAGTGCGGGGCCGTGACAGATTGTTTCATCGAAAATCTCACCGACTCGTCAAGAGGCTGAAAATAATTAGACAAGTAATATTCTAAAATTATAACATTTAACATTATTAAATGATGATTCAATTTTATTAAATTATCCGATATGTGCTTCACCTGCGCAATCCAGCCTGCATTTGACTTGATCTTGTTCCACTCCCATGGCCTTCCGTAGTAGCTGAAAATTTCCACAAGAACAAACAAGACCAGACCAGACCGTAGTATCTGTAAGCAGGCCTTAGCAAATCAATGAGCCTTCCATCGACAATCACAGCCAGCAATACGCAGCATGCCTATACACGAATCACGACCACCATCCATGAAGGCATACACATACAACCACCATTCATTCATGCATACATCCACATATATTGTCACATAATTACGAACTAAAAGAGCGCACTTTGCAAAACAAAGGGTCAAAAACAAAAAACAAGGGAACATTGAAACCATTCAATTTCTCATTCTTCTTTCGACTCCCCCTCCACTGTGCCTCTCACGTACAAGGCTCGCCATGTTGATGAAGTTGAGCGCGAGCTGCTCCCATCCCCGTGCGCCATAACGGCCCACTTGTACGCTGTGAGAAAGAGGCAGAGTGAAGGGGGAGGGGATAACCACAGGCAGGAGAGATGGAGAGAAGACAAACAAAGAATGATAAAGGGAAAGTAATGGAAAGTACGGAGTGTGGAGTGAAGATGAAGGCAAAAGAGGATAAGAAAAGGCTCAAGAATGAGTTTCTCCTTGACGACACAGAGGACATATATTGTAAAGACGAGGTGGATGGACACATGGAAGACCTAGCTGAGCATTCTCAGTACAACATTTGCCACGATGGCTGGCATTGAGCATGCCCACCATACACCCCCGACAAATGGCATGTCGATTGCAGGCCAAAATGAAGGAAGAACGGTCACCACAAAAGACCATGCATTAGAATAGCCGGTATAGCGCCCATGGCCACAAAATGGACATATAGTGTCCAGATGCGGAGGGTGCCTGCAGTCAGGAATGGAGCGACAGTCCTCTGCACACATGGATGCAAAAACCATATCATTGTTGTGATTGTGACAGAGATGATGGTGGCTACAGCCGAGTGAAACAGTGTTTGTCGCCGTGCAAAGGAGAAGGTAACAGAGTGTTGGTACATTGTCTTGCTGCAGCAACGGGCCAGAAGAATGATCTTTGACATAAAAGAGATTGCGGATGGTTTGTTGTGGCAAGAAAACAGCATCATTATGTAAGAAATCAGTGACATCAGTCATGGCATGGACCATGGTGCCGTTCTCCACAGCTCCCAGCGGTCAGAGGCATGTACAGTGGCCAATATTATGGCCAGGTTCGTGCACAATGCAGGCAGAGACGTGGGATGGAGGATTAAACCACTCACCTGCTCGAGCATTGCGCAGTTCAAGTTGACAGTCCCTCATTGCTACTTGCCGGACAGCTATGGTAAAGCCTCCTTCCCTACTATAATTACAATCCTCTGGCTGTAGTTGGAGAAGATCAGCATCAAGCTGAAGGGCGATCGCAAGGAAATCTGACGACGTATAAAACGGGCGGTGGAGAATGTGAAGACAAATATTAGTTGCCGTAAGACCACAGAGATTGGTGAGGTTCTCAGGCTGGTGTGTTGGATGCTGGCCAACAATTTGCAGATCACCCAGATGGTATCGCACGCCCAAACTGTCTTGGGTTGTTTGCTGGTTAGTCATTTGCAGACCACCCATGTGGTCTGCGCATGGTGGGGCGGAAATTTGCGGTTCATCCGAACAATGCTGGTCAATCATTTGCAGATCCCCCATGTGGTCTACGCCTTGTGGGGTCAACTGCAATCCGGGAAGATCATGTTCCAATCCCTCAGCGTTCAAGAGGGGAGGGGTGAGAGAGAGAGAGAGAGAGAGAGAGAGAGAGAGAGAGAGAGAGAGAGAGAGAGAGAGAGAGAGAGAGAGAGAGAGAG